CGAGTCAAGGGAAAACCTGGACAGCCCCCCATCGGTTAATAACCGACGTGACCTAAACACAAACCGATGTAGGCCATCCCGGGCTCCCAGCGGTTAATCGAACATCCCAGCGGTTATTTGATATCCCAGCGGTTAATTCAACATCCCAGCGGTTATTTCAACATCCCAGCGGTTATTTGATGATCCCAGCGGTTAATTGTCCCAGCGGTTAATTCCAGCGGTTAATCGTCCCAGCGGTTAGTCCCAGCGGTTAATCCCAGCGGTTAATTGTCCCAGCGGTTAATCCCAGCGGTTAATCCCAGCGGTTAATTCACATCCTAGCGGTTATATATCCAAAGGTTCGGGATCCCAGCGGTTAGTGAAGGTGCCAACGGCCGTACGAACATGGTGTTAATGAATTTGTGTGGCGTGGCGAGGTGCCAACGGCTGTACGAACATGGTGTTAATGAATTTGTGTGGCGTGGCGAGGTGCCAAAGGCCGTTCTCTGCCTCCGGACGGGTGGCGCAAAGCAGCCAAACCTTCACTTACTATTACTACTACTATTACTACTACTACTACTACTACTACTACTACTACTACTACTACTACTACTACTACTACTACTACAGCTTCTGCAAACACTGCTTGGGCTTTCGGTGCTTCAGCTTCTGCAAACACTGCTTGGGCTTTCGGGGCTTCAGCTTGTGCAAACACTGCTTGGGCTTTCGGGGCTTCTGCTTCTGCAAACACTGCTTGGGCTTTCGGTGCTTCAGCTTCTGCAAACACTGCTTGGCTTTCGGGGCTTCAGCTTCTGCATACACAGCACATAAATAGTTTATCAGTTTTGCAAGTAGATCTTTGCAGTCCTGGCATCCAGGACGGTAAATATAGCGGTTATGCAGTCCTGGCATCCAGAACGGTACGTATAGTGGTTATGGTCCGGTTATGGTTGTTACACTGCGTAGGTTTTCGTAGTACTAGTACTAGTAGAAAGCATATTATGCAGGAGTCTTTGTTGACTAGCTGTCACAATCAAACATATACACGTACGGCGTGGCGAGGCGCCAACAGCCATTACAACTCACGGTGGGCGGCACTTCAAGCAATCAGTCGCAACCAACCAACCGACCGACCAACACTCCAGCACATGCATCAAGCCAGGGACACAACCACCATCCAACACATGCATCAAGCCAGGCACACAACCACCATCCAACACATGCATCAAGCCAGGCACACAACCGACCAACAGGTGCAAGCCTTCAGAGCCAAGCACACAACCGACCAACAGGTGCAAGCCTTCAAGCAATCAGTCCCAAGCACAACCAGCGTTCCTCGAGATTCTACAACTGCCACTGCGAGCCAAGCACACAACCGACCAACAGGTGCAAGCCTTCAAGCAATCAGTCCCAAGCACAACCAGCGTTCCTCGAGATTCTACAACTGCCACTGCGACTGCAAACACAGCTTGGCTTTCGGTGCTTCAGTTTCTGCAAACACTGCTTGGCTTTCGGGGCTTCAGCTTCTGCAAACACTGCTTGGCTTTCGGGGCTTCAGCCTCTGCAAACACGGTTTGGCTTTCGGTGCTTTTGACAGCATTATGCAGGATTCTTTGTTATGGGTTTGAACAGTTCAGGCGTGGAACCCAGTTTTTGTTTGCAGGCTTTTGATTTGGAGTTTGTGCAAGCTTTGGCCAGGGTTTAGGATCAAGGCGGATGTTGCGAGGGGGAGCACCTCCACCCGATGGCCAAGGGGGAGCAACTCCACCCGAGGCCATGCATGCACTAGATTGGGAACAAGAGAGGTTTCGGGAATATCGGTATTAAGGGGTGTATATGTGAATGCATCCTCCCTTTTTTTGGGGAGGCCTTGGCCCTTGCGGTTTCAAACTTGGAACCTAAACTTGCAAGCTTCGGGACTATGGAATGTTGTTTGGTTGCATTGTGGCAAGTTCTTCCTTAAGCCGAAATCTAAACCCTCAACCCCCAAACCTGAAGCCCCAACTTTGGAAACCCTAAACCCTAAAACCCTTAAGAGACCTGCGGCGTCCTCTTTTTTTTCGGCGACGCGGCTCTTCTTCTTCGCCGTCGCCCCGGGCAAGCGTTGCCAGAGAAACACTTGTTTCGTCAGGTAACGTCTTGCCCAGGTGCGAGGCTGAGAAGTCACGTGGCAGCCGGCAGAAACAATCTTGAGGAACTTCATATGATCCTCATCCAAAAAATTCGCAGCATGGTAAAAGTTGAGCTTGTGGCAGGGCAGCTCATCCACCAAATGCTGCGTGTAATGCATCTCCGGCCGAAGTTTGTACAAGCAGATGCCTTTTCGATGAAATCGTGCAGCAGCGTGAGCATAACTCAGAAGGAACGTATCGAAACACCATTGTGATTCGATAATCTCCTCTGGCTTGAGAAAGGGTTTACTGCCAGTTCCCCCAACACTCAATGCTGCATCCAAGCACCATACCATCGTTGCCCTGCACCTCGACCAATGCACCGTGTCTGAGGGTGCGTCACCAGACACCAGTATTTCCAGTTGACAGCAGTAATAAGCGGTAAACGCCAGCAAGTTTCTGGTCCGACTTGCTTTATACGGCTTGTGAGCTCAGGGTAGATAGCCTTCTTGTTGGCATGTAAAGTTTCCCACGTCAGCGGCTTCATCGAGCAATCCAGGCCACGATCCTTGCAGAAACTTTGGGCTTCCGCAGTCCACCTGTGAAGAAGCTGATCTGGGCTGCCATCGAATTGCAAGAAAGCTGCCATCTCGCCCGATCTCACGGTCTCAACCAGAATGGAAGCCACAAGGTCCCGGATGTAACCCAGATGGGCGAGGTGCATAACTTGGTTGAGCAGTGCATCTTACAGTATTCGAGCACTACATAACCAAAAGCCGTACGGATCGCTAATCATTGTGAGTGTACACAGGCCGGGGGCACTCACCCTGAAATGCTCAGCTAAAAGAAGCACATGGCAGAGGCGGCCCACGGCGAGCCAAAATATTATATCAGTGGCTTCGGGTCCTCGAGCCCTTGGGCGAGGACCCTACACCGACTGTACGTTATCAGCCATAAAAAAGCCATCCAGGAATGCTGTTAATGCGACCTAGAGGCTGTCAAACAGGCGGCGGCGCTTGGTGAAGCCCTTGACTGAGCACCAAACAGATCGTTCTTCTTGGTGTGGCAGCGGCTCATGGTAGCTGCATGTAGAGCGCCACAGAGCTGACGAAGAAAAGTCTGTGAAAGTCAGCTGTTTGTCCCGGCTCGATGCCCAACACCAATCGCATATCGAAGGCTTGTTATAGTGCCTCTGAAGATTGTGTGATTTTGCATGAGCTTCCATATCTCCAGCCCAATATGAGAAGCATGCTCGGATCCCAATGTTTTGGCCAATCTTTTGGGCTCGCGCTGAGCCAGCTGGCCACGGAACGTCGTTGTGGTCGCAGGATGGAAAAACGCCACGTTCCAGTGATCGAAGATCCCAAGCGATGATGTCAGCGATGCAGCGTCTCGTTTCGGGCGCGACACGACTGTTCGTGACACCAACAATGCCTTTAATTGTTGTTGTCCATCATATACATATATATATATGTATATGGTCAGCTAGCTCTGTTGTCCAACTAAAAGAATATTGCTAATCGAAAATTTCCGAGGGACAGAAGCGAGAGATCTCGCTTCCGCGGCTAGCCAAAGGCGTGGTCCAAGACCAGAAGTTGCATGTTTCGCTCTTAGTTGTTGGTACACCATCCTCATGAAAGCGTAATGGAAGCATGTCCTGGTAGTTGGGATTGTTCCGGGAGATCTCCCGTATGTAAACCTGGTCCCGTTCTTGCTTCCACCATTCATCTACTGACCTGAGATATCAAAGCAGGAAATGTGCGTCCATGAGCAATACATGCACCAACAATGAACCAAGCAATCAGGCGCGGGCCGAGGTGCGAATGTCCAATAAGACAGGTTTCCACCAGTGATCTTTTGCAAAGCTCGCAGAGAACATCACTGGGAAGACAGAAAGCTGTTTTCTCAAATATCAGTTGTTTGTCCTTGCGTTCTTTGATGTTGCTCCACACAGGCAAATCCACCAGCAGGGGCTGGATGGGTAACTTCATCCAGCGGAAGAAATCCCTCTCCCGTTCGCTGCTTGCCATTTGTGAAAGGGCAAGTCCAGATGCCCCATCTCGCCGGAAGGCAGATGCTATTCTGCTTGTTTCGGCCACAGGTATCGCCTCAGAATGTGTGTTCTGGCTGCAAGGTCCAAGAGTGTTGCACACGGACTATATAGCTGACGTGCTTGGATACATCCAAGTCAAGAGTCTCCAGCACCCATGCGCTGGGCCAGTAAAGCTGCACCAGCGGAGTCAAAGTCATCTGCGGTCCTTGCTCCAGTGGCGTGTTTATGCTTATTGCATATATTGCGGTCCCAGCAGCATCCCACGACGACGTGTCGTAAAGGCAGGCCGACCAGACTCTGTCAAGGGCACGTACCTGGCAACAATGTTTTTCATTCCTTCCACCCCATCACGTGAAACCCCGTCAGGGCATCTGCAGCAAGCAATTTTTGGCACCAGAGCGACGATCGATTCCCCAAGGATTGTGAAAGTCGAGAGCACTGGCTTGGGTCCTCGAGCCCTTGGGCGAGGACCCTACACCGACTGTACGTTATCAGTGTCGGACACTGGAAGAAAATGAGATGTGCAAAATCCAGATGGATCTGTTACCAGTAACCTTGGAGTATTCTAATATATTCTAATATACGTGAACAGCACGACATGCCCATCTGAGCACCGACCCCGGGTGCCAAGATTCTTTCTAGGCTCCGTCGAGAGCACTGGCTTGGGTCCTCGAGCCCTTGGGCGAGGACCCTACACCGACTGTACGTTATCAGTGTCGGACACTGGAAGAAAATGAGATGTGCAAAATCCAGATGGATCTGTTACCAGTAACCTTGGAGTATTCTAATATATTCTAATATACGTGAACAGCACGACATGCCCATCTGAGCACCGACCCCGGGTGCCAAGATTCTTTCTAGGCTCCCTCCGCGGCTTTGCGCTTCTTGGACTTGGCTTTAGCCGATCCTTTGGGCGCGGTTGGATCCTTCGGAGTCGCCTTCGCAGCTCGGATCAAGCTGTTTGCTACCTTGCTGGGCCTCTCATAACGCTTCGCGATATCGAGATATCTGGTAGCAATGGGAAGATAGACCCCATCATCGTGGACCAGCTCAGAGATGAGCTTGTCCACCTGGTCGTAGATCGCCCTTGGCCGTATAGTACTGGGATGGGGCCACATGAGCGTCTGTCAAGACTTCTTGTTCATATGGCTAGACCAGGGTACCTGCCCTGTGGGGCAGAGGCTCATAAAACAATCTAGTAGGTATCAATGCAGCCAAGGCACTGGAACTCCTGCTCGAAGTTGGTCATCTCCTTGAGGCATTCAGTCGCATAGCTGACTCCTTTCAACTGCTTGCGCATCGAGCCAGCGTGGTTGGCCTTCGAGAGGGCCCGCCCCCTTAAGTCTGCCGCCTTGTCCAGCGGTGTAAGTTTCTCCACTCGTGGTGCTTCCGGCTCAGTTTCACCGTCTTCCTCTTTCTCTTTGCCGCTGGCTTCATTTTTCCTGGCTTTCTTTGGTTTTTTGTTCGGAAGTGGCTTTGGGTCCTCCTCCATGTCCACATTGTCCTCATCATCCTGGCCGGGCCCTGTCAGCGCCCGCCGGGGCACACTGAGAATTTGTGCAACGTTGGCAGCGTCACCCGCACGAACTTCTCCGGAAGCAGTGAAACTGCTTCCTCGGATTCCGTTCGCATGAATGCACGAATGCTACATAAATGTTGAAGTCGAACATAACTGCATGCACGATGTATGAATGCAAGCAAGAAACGTTCTTCTGTGCCTCTCGTCCATTCCCTCTGCCACTCGTTGTGCAAGTAAAGCTTGAGCCCTTTACAATTGGGATCATCAACCTCCAAACCAGCCTTCCTTTTTTCCTCCATCACCTTCGCAGCATTGACCGCACCGTACTTGCCGATCAATTCCTGTTCCGTCAAAGGTTTCATCTTTCCCTTTTCCTTGTCCGTCCCCACAGAAATGGACGATGCAGTCCACTGCCCGACCAGCTCATTTTCGTCTCCTCCTGCAGCGACGATCAAGTCGATGGCTTTGCTCTTTGAATCTTCGTCCCGCACCAACTTTGCCAAGTCATCAGGCAAGGCTTGCATCCTCTTTGGGTTGCCTTTCAGGCGATTCAAGAACATGGCGGCGTTCTTTCGGTTGTAGAGTGGCGCAGAACCTTGGACCAAGCCGTCGCTTGCACTGCCATGCGTTGTTTTTGCACTGCCAGGCGTTGTGATTGCACTGCCAGGCGTTGCAGGAGATGGCGTACCAGGTGCCTCCACCATGCGTGGGGTTGCAGGACTTGACCAACCCATCTTCGCACTGACATCATCAAAGGTCGGGGCATTAGGGGCCGGAGGAACGGCACCCCTGGTGGTAGGGGCCGGAGGATCGGCACCCCGGGTGGTAGCGGCCGGAGGATCGGCACCCCTGGTGGTAGGGGCCGGAGGATCGGCACCCGTTGTGGTAGGGGCCGGAGGATCGGCATCACTGGTAGGGGCCGGAGCTGGCGTTGCTGCCTTCGGCTTGATCAGTTTTGCAAGCTCATCCTTGCAGAACTGCTTGCAACCCTCATCCCCAGTAGCCATAATGTCCTGCAAGAGCTGTAGCTTTTGCAACTTTGTCGCGTTCATCGGCAAAGCCTGGTATTTTTTTGCCGCCTGTGTTGCCATGTCGACCTGACAGTGGCGGATTTAGGCTTTGGGGTTTAGGGCTGTATAAAATTTAGGGAGTTAAGGCTTCGGGTTTAATGTTGAGGTTCTAGGTTATGGGGTTTATACTTATGGTTTAGGGGTTAAGGTTTCTTAGTTTCTTACAAGTCGCACGGCCTCCACCTTGGCTTTATCAGCGTCTTCCTTTTCCTTGGCCTTGTCCTTGGCCGATCTCATATGTTCGGCCTCCTCCTTGTCCTTGGCCAATCTTGCCAGCCTGAACTGTTCCCTTTCCTTGGCCAACCTGGCATTCTCAGCTTCCTCCCTTTCCTTGGCCATCCTGGCTTTCTCAGCTTCCTCCCTTTCCTTGGCCAGCTTGGCTTCCTCCCTTTCCTTGGCCATCCTGGCTTTCTCAGCTTCCTCCCTTTCCTTGGCCTGCTTGGCTTCCTCCATTTCCTTGGCCATCCTGGCTTTCTCAGTTTCCTCCCTCTCCATTTCCTTCGCCATTCTGATGGCTTTCTCGGCTTCCTCCCTTTCCTTGGCCATCCTGGCTTTCTCAGCTTCCTCCCTTTCCTTGGCCAGCTTGGCTTCCTCCATTTCCTTGGCCATCCTGGCTTTCTCAGCTTCCTCCCTTTCCTTGGCCTGCTTGGCTTCCTCCATTTCCTTGGCCATCCTGGCTTTCTCAGTTTCCTCCCTCTCCATTTCCTTCGCCATTCTGATGGCTTTCTCGGCTTCCTCCCTTTCCTTGGCCATCCTGGCTTTCTCAGCTTCCTCCCTTTCCTTGGCCATCCTGGCTTTCTCAGTTTCCTCCCTCTCCTTGGCCAGCTTGGCTTCCTCCATTTCCTTCGCCATTCTGATGGCTTTCTCGGCTTCCTCCCTTTCCTTGGCTAACCTGGCTTTCTCAGCTTCCTCCATTTGCTTGATCATTTTGCTTACTTTCTCAGCTTCTTCCTTTTCCTTGGCCAACCTTGCTTTCTCAGTTTCCTCCCTTTCCTTCGCCATTCTGCTGGCTTTCTCAGCTTCCTCCCTTTCCTTGGCCAATCTTGTTTGCTCAGCTTTCTTCCGCCAGGCATCATCCTGTTCCTTGGCCAACCTGGTTTCATCCTCCAGTTCCTTGGCGACCCTGGCAAAATCATTTTCAAGCTCTCGCTTTGGAGATTTTGTGATCGCATCATCCTCGCGTTCCTCGAGCCCGACCTCACGCATGAGATGCTCCAACGTGGCATCAAAGCCATCCTTTGTACCTGTGATCGAAACAAACCAGAACATGTGCACACTGAAGCTGCAACAAAACGCGAGTCATGGATGTCCTTCTGTCTGCAAGTCAGCAGGTGGCAGATCGTACTGGGTCGGCTGGGCGTCCTGGAAACAGATATGGCACGTATCGGAAACAGGATGGGTTTGGCGGGATTGAAGTCCTGGGAGGAGATGTCCATCTCGCAGCCGTAGAGCTGAGACTCGAGTTCTTTCATCAGGTCCTGCTCCTCTTGCGCGTCGATCGTGGCCTCCGTCTGCTGAGTGTCCTAGATAGGCGGCAACATGTTTTTTTGCTTTTCTTCCAGTTCCCTGACCCCGAATGGTCCTGCAGGAAGGTGTCCGAAAAGCCCTGCCCAGCCACTCCGCCAGCAGCAGCCCCCGCCCTCATAGCGGTGTTCAGAAGCCGCCCGAACTTCGCCGGGTCGTTCTCGGCTTCTCCCGAAAGAGCGTCAAGCTGCTCCAGCTTCACTCGCATGGGGTCGTTCGCCATGCCCTGGAATTCCAGGGCCGCCTACGGGAGCCCCTTCCCAAACACCTTGAATACAAAAGATGCTGCCATGCTGACATTGACCAACACGCAGCAACAGAAAGCGGAATGCAAAGATCCAAGCGAGCAGCAACCTAAAGCAATACATTTGAGCAACTTGGGGCAGCCAACCAAGGCAGGAAATTCAATTTTCATCCGCCGCGGGTGCACAGAGCGATCTATCGTCCATAGCGACGAACAATCTCTTCCAGATCTCCTTTGCCGAAGATTTCTCCCGATTCCGTGACATAGGTGAAGTCGTCCCCTCCCCAACGTCTCATTGTCTCCAGCTGCTTCACGAAGTGGTTGATCTCTTGTTGGGTATAGATCTTCGGAACCTCGGCGGCGGCTGAGCTCGAGACCGCCGGCTGTTGAAGAGCATCATCCTTTTCGGTCTTCTCGGGTGGCCGCGTCTTCTTGGGTTTCTCGGTCTTCGCATCATTTTTCGGCAGCAAGAAGCCTTTCTTCATGGTGTTGGAGGCAAGGGATCCAAAATCTCGAGCACCACCGGCTGCAGCATTGCGAACACCGCCTGGCTTTCGGTGATTCAGCTTCTGCAATCGGTGCTTCAGCTTCTGGCCGTACGAAAAGGGTGTTAATGAATTTGTGTGGCGTGGCGAGGTGCCAACGGCCGTTCTCTGCCTCCGGAGGGGTGGCGCAAAGCAGCCAAACCTTCACCTACTACTACAGCTTCTGCAAACACTGCTTGGCTTTCGGTGCTTCAGCTTGTGCAAACACTGCTTGGGTTTTCGGGGCTTCAGCTTCTGCAAACACTGCTTGGGCTGTCGGGGCTTCAGCTTCTGCAA